TTAGTTCTACTGAGTCTAAAACCTTTGGACTCCAAAGTCTCACGTCATAACTCCAGTTTCTGATTCACTCCTGTCCGACTTTCATCAACTAGCACTACATCGTCCGCAAAAAACATACACCAAGGGATGTCTCCTTGTATGTCCCTTGTGACCTCATCCATCACTATGGCAAACAGAAAAGGGCTCAAAGCTGACCCTTGATGTAGTCCTATCCTAATCGAGAAGTCATCCGTGTCTCCATCACTTGTTCGAACACTAGTCACAACATTGTTGTACATGTCCTTAATGAGCTCGACGTATTTCGTTGGGACTTTATGTTTGTCCAAAGCCCACCACATAACATTCCTTGGTATTTTATCATAAACCTTCTTCAAGTCAATAAAAACCATATGTAGGTCCTTCTTCTCCCTATACCACTCCATAACTTGTCTTATTAAGAAAATAGCTTCCATGGTTGACCTTCCGGGCATGAAACCAAATTGGTTCATAGAGACACGCGTTATTGCTCTCAAGCGATGCTCGATAACTCTCTCCCATAGCTTCATAGTATGGCTCATCAACTTAATTCCCCGATAATTAGTACAACTTTGAATATCCCCTTTATTCTTGTAGATCGGTACCAATATACTTCTCCACTCGTCAGGCATTTTGTTCGATCGAAAAATATGGTTAAACAGCTTTGTTAGCCATACTATAGCTATGTCCCCAAGGCATCTCTACACCTCGATTGGGATACCATCCGGTCCCATCGCCTTACCTCCTTTCATCCTTTTCAACGCCTCTGACCTCAGATTTTTGGATTCTCCACACAAATCGCCTATTGGTGTCATCAAAAGAGTCATCCAACTGAAGCGTTGTGTCCGTATTCTCACCATTGAACAATTTGTCAAAATACTCTTGCCATCGATGTCAGATCTCATCCTCCTTCACCAAGAGATGCTCCCTTTCATCCTTAATGCACTTAACTTAGTTGAAGTCCCTTGTCTTTCTCTCATGAACCCTAATCATCCTATAAATGTCATTCTCTCCCTCCTTCGTACTCAAATATTGGTAAAGATCCTCGTACAAAAAGTGGTACACCATTAGATGGATTAAATTTGGGGATGAAAGCACAAGTTTCTTTCATGCTGCTGCCACAGAAAGGTACAGGTTGAACACCATCACAAGCTTAGTAGCAGAGGACGGAAGGGATGTTTTCAACCATCATGAAAAGGCTGACATCCTTCTTGAGTATAAGGGCAGAATGGGCAGCACATCAAAACCCACCATGCAATACAATCTGGACTAGCTAGTGCAGGAAAACAATAACATGTATCTACACCACTCACAACACAAGACATTGACAACGTAGTTAAGCAAATGCCTGCTGACAAATCCCCTAGACCTGATGGATTCAATGGTTTTTTCATCAAAAGTTGCTGGCATATAATAAAAAAAGACTTTTATACTCTATGCTTTGATTTTTTTAATGGTGATCTGGACCTTCAGGCCATAAACAACTCCTTCATTACATTAGTCCCCAAGGTCAACAACCCCACAGGAGTAAATGATTTCAGGCCAATTTCTTTGTTGAATTGTGTGCTAAAAATAATCACTAAATTGATGGCAGATAAGGTGCAATCAGTTATCCTCTCTCTGATACATACAAACCGGTATGGATTTATTAAATCTAGAACAATTCAAGATTGCTTGGCCTGGACGTACAGGTATATTTATCAGTGCCAACATTCAAGAAAAGAGATTGTTGTTCTAAAATTGGACTTCACCAAGGCATTCGATACCGTGGAGCATAACACCATTTTGGAGATGATGAAACACTTGGGATTTGATGACAAATGGAGACAATGGACACAAAGGGTCCTAGGCTCAGGTTCCTCTTCTATTCTCCTTAATGGGGTACCTGGCAAACAATTCCAGTGCAAGCGTGGAGTAAGGCAAGGAGACCCTCTTTCTCCACTGCTTTTTGTCATGGCTGCCGACCTACGGCAATGTGTAGTTAATAAAGCACATAATCAAGGTTTGTTTGAACTGCCCATACCTTCTCATGAGGGAGCTGACTACCCAATAATCCAGTATGCAGATGACACAATTTTGATCATGAAGGCTTCACAGAGAGAACTATTCACTTTGAAAGGGTTACTTGAGTCTTTCTCCCAGTCCACCGGGCTAAGAGTCAATTATGGAAAGTCCTGCCTTGTCCCCCTAAACATGACGAATGAAAAGGCCCAAATGCTTGCAGGTGTTTTTGGCTGTAAAATTCAGTCCCTTCCTTTTACCTATTTGGGGCTGCCAATGGGTACCACAAAGCCAAGAGTTGAGCACTATGCACCACTCATGAATAGAACAGAAAGAAGGCTCACAGCAACATCTAATTTTCTTACACATTCAGGGAGGCTTCAATTAGTAAACTCTGTACTGTCATCCCTCCCCACGTATGCTATGTGCTCACTACAAGTTCCAGCTGCAGTCTTGGAATACATCGATAGGGCAAGAAGGCACTGCTTGTGGAGAGGTTCTGACACTAATGCTAAAATGAAACCTTTAGTAGCATGGAAAAAGTGTTGTAAGCCAAAGAAGAAAGGAGGTCTTGGGATTATCAACCTTAAAAGTCAAAACTCAGCCCTGCTTCTCAAACATCTTGATAAATTCTATAATCTGAAAGATGTTCCTTGGGTTAAACCAGTTTGGAGCTCTTACTACTCAAATGGGCAAATACCACATGCTTCAACTGATAAAGGCTCCTTTTGGTGGAGAGAGATACTGAAGCTTTGTGACTTATTTAGAGGTATTTCAAGCTGTACAGTTGGAAATGGCTTCACTGTTCTTTTTTCGTCTGATGTGTGGAACAACTTGCTCCAAGATAAATTTCCCAGATTATATTCATATGCAAAAAACAAAAAAATCTCAGTTGCAAAATTTCTTACAAGTAACACGCTGGATTCTCAATTCCACCTACCTCTATCTGAACAAGCTTATCAGGAATACTTAGGGCACAGGAAGGCGGAATGTTAATCAAATAAGTGGCAGTACACACAGTATCAGCCCAAAAGTGAGGTGGAACAGAAGAAACAATAATAAGAGCACGAACAGTCTTAAGGATATGACAATGCCTACGCTCAGCACACCATTCTGAGCATGAGCACCAAGGCAAGAGAACTGAGGAAGAGTGCCCTGCTCAAATAGGAACTACCATAGAGCGCCCGAAAGATACTCCCCAACAGAGTCAACATGAAAAGCACGAATAGAAGTGTCAAACTGAGTACGGATCATCTTGGCGAGAGTCTTATAGATGGATAAAGTCTCACTACGATGTTTCTTGAAGTAAACCCAAGTGAATCGAGAGAAATCATCTACAAATATGATATAGTAATGATGGCCCCCTTTCTAAACGAAGGCTGCTGAACCCCACACATAGAGTGAATAAGATCAAAGGGACACTTCGAAACTAACCCACTAGAATGATATGGAAGCTCTGATTGCCTAGCTTACAGCCCTGTCACTGGTCCAAGGATACATTGAGTGTTAGCTGCATGATCAGATTGGGAACATAAGAGACACTAGGAACATGAAAAGAGGACAATAGAGTGCCGCATCCGGCAACAGAAAGAGATGAGCCGTCAGTGGTCTGAACAGTAATAGGAATAGGAGTACAAATAGAAGAAAGACTGGTACGATCAGGAGAGAAGCAGCCAAGCAGTAGCATCACTGCCAATACTCTATGAGGAACAACCACCTCAGCAAGAGTGAGCCTTCTTTCCACAGTGAAGTCCACCAGTGCCACCACTCCTCAGAGAGGATGCCACTGAAAAGGGCACTGTGGGCGGAGTGGCAGTAAAGCCAAAAGGTGTAGAACAAACAGCCAAGACAAACAAGCAGGCTGAACGAACCACCAAGACAAACAAGCAGGCTGACTGAAGCAAACCAGCATCGAAGACGGGTCTCCCCATTATGAACAGCAGAGCCTCCATCAGGGACACACAGGGCTCACGAGCAAGTAACTGAGCACGAAGAGGCTCAAACTCTGCACAAAAACAAGTCAGAAAGTCATAGGTACGCCAAAGCTCAAGGTGAGTATGCTGCTTCGAACAAGGTTCACAAGTGGCAACGGACAACTGAGGACCAAGAGTGTCAAGCTCACAACAAGCCGCAGATAGCTGGTTAAAGAACTCCTGAACAGTGGCATCACCCTGCTGCAACAACTGCTCCTGCCGTAAAGCCGCAATGTAGGTGGAGTGACCAGAAGGCTCGTAACGCTAACAAAGAAAAGTCCACATCTGAGGATGCATGGTCAAACTGAATAATATCTGCAGCTAAACGCTCCTCCATACTAGCAGTGAGAACAGCACCTGCAAAGGCATCCTCATCTAACCAAGTCCAGTATGCTGCAAACTAAGACCTGTAGGAGGCCATGTCATCATCATACACCCTTCACCCCCGCCCCCACCCCCTCAAAGCACAGATGGGCAGTGCAGCACAGCACCGCAACGAGACGGACATGTCTGCTACCTCCCTGCATCAGCCGGCACAGCAGGAACAGCGGGGCAATGGCAGGCTGGAGGAACCACACTGGCCGTGCAGTGGCGACGAACAACAGGTGGACCCTAGAAGCTGGCTCTATACCATGTTTGGAACTGTGCTTGTATTGAGAAGAAGGGCTAAAGCCCAAATATGTACATAGGCAAGAATGCATAAAGATCCTTATACAAAGAGGAAAATACATATACACCAAACAAAATCAAACACAAAGTTAGAAAAAATAAATGTCCAGTAAGCAAGGTTGCTATCCTCCATCAACGAAATAGCACCCCTCCTATTCTAAGATCAAACACGGTGCAGCAGAGGAACTAAACAAGTTAGCAAATGCAATGTTGCCACACGGCATTTCTTCCATCTAAAAGATAGAAATGTTCAAAGTTTCAGAGAAATATTTAAGGTTAAGTTCAACGCATAGATTGCATGGCCATTATATAGACTGGAATATAGGTGTATATATTCGTTACCTCTGTAAATAAATGCTCAGCTAACTGACAGTTGTTAAACTGTACACATGCATGCAAAACATCGTTGAACGCCCATCTCAAAATTTGTTTTACTGCACTTGGTGCAGACTTCAATGTATTTGCAACACCATCTACTCCAACCTTATAAGAAAGATTGTTGCCTGAACAAAGCTGAAACAAAATAAGTTTTATATATCTCATTGGGATAATGACTACACTAATATAGTAGATGGTGCCAAAGGGCGCCTAGCTCAAACGGTTAGGTGACCCAGCGGCACTCCTCAGGTCCTGGGTTCGACTCCCCGTGGGAGCGAATTTCAGGCTGAGGTTAAAAAAATCCCCTCGTCCGTCCCCATAACCAAAGCACTGGGGGGGGCACCGGCCCAATTCTCACTTGGGCGACGGAAAGCCACCGTGTAAGGGTGGGGGCGGGGGTTCGGGGGTTTTCTCGACCGGGTGAGAAGGTCCTTCTTCTTATTTGTAATGTTGCGGGGGCAGTCTTAACCCCGAGACGAGTTTTTTTTTTAAATATAGTAGATGGTGTATGAAATGGAATGCAGACCTGACCGAGTTTTCTCCTCAAATAGCTCAGGCTGAGCATCAACCAAATGTTCGCCAGTAGCCAGCTTCCCTTGACATGATGGCAGGGTGAGATCTTCAAATTCATTCAAAGCAGGTACAGGAATGTCTAGTCTCGATAACTGGTATCTTCTTTTAGAAGACACCCTCGGATAGTCAGAGCTTTGTGCAACAAGGGCTACCATATGCTGCAAGATGTGATATGCAGATTGAAGGTCACCTAGTGCAGTTAAAGCCCTTATAAGTCTCCTTTGTGTGATAATGTTTGGGCTATAATACCTAAAGCAATCCTTCCAGATATCATAAGCTGCAGGCAAATTTCCCTGTAACACTGCAAGCTTAAAAACACAAAACAAACTAATAAGCGAAGCTGCCACAATATTATATAAAAATGAATTAATTATGCTAGAATGAACATTCAGGCTGAAAAAAATCAAACAAGCAAGCTGTCACAACATTAGTTCTATTAGCATGTAAGGGCAAGTATGTCTTCCAACGACCACGGTACATAAATATATAGTGATGGCTACTGCATATATGAAATGTAGTATTTCATGAAAGAAACACAAAATAAAAGGGCACGAGAATTTTTGCATGAGTAAACTAAAATTGGATCAGCAACAATCAACAACAACAACAACATAGCCTTTCAGTCCCAAGCAAGTTGGGGTAGGCTAGAGTTGAAACCCACCAAGAGCCCCAAGTCACGGTTCAGGCACTTCAATAGCTGCTTTCCAAGTACTCCTATTCAAACATAGATCTCTAGGTATATCCCAAGCTTTCAAATTTCTTTTTATTGCCTCCCCCATGTCAATTTCGGTCTTCCTCTATCTCTCATCATATTATTAGCTTGGCTTAGGACTCCACAATGCACTGATGCCTCTAGAGGTCTCCTTTGGACATGGCCAAACCACCTTAGCATGTTGGATCAGCAACAATACTAAGAAAAAAATGATTAAGGAAATGTTATGGATTTACAGTCATTTTATACTGATTTATTCAGGATGAGGTGGAAGCCACACAGATAAAACAATATGCGAAAAGGGAACTACTTAGGCAGCAGCATGTTAGTATTTTTAAAAAATGGACCAAAGAGGAAGCAATATATATGATGAACAATTTGATATGAAAGTAGGCTTGCGACCACAACAGAAAAGTCAGGTGAGCTGATATTAAATGGGCATATAAGAAAGAACATTTCTTCGTACAAACCTTCAAAAGCTCACAGTATGTTATTTCAGACTTCCCAAGAAAAAGATTTTCCAGTATCTCAAGACAGCATTCAGCATCCTTCAGATTTGCTCTACTTCCACAGGCATTTAGAAAGATATTAAAAATCGGTATAGTGGCATGAGTGCTTTCTTTCTCCCCGAGAAGAGCCAGCCAGTGAAGTGCCTATATAGGAAAGAAGATTCTGAACTTGCAGACTGCATGGAGCTAAACTATTCATTAAGCTGTCAAACATACAGCGCAATAAAAGAAATTAAATTCCACTGGATCACGCAGAATTTGTGTTAAAAGAAGAAAAAATAGTAATAAGCTTACCCCCAATATCCATCAACTCATCAAAGTAACACATTAAAAAGGGTCAAAATCTTTTAAATGTGTAGACAAGCATGTGATTAAGCCCGTCTATCTTGTATTTCAAATGGTAATACAGCGTGCAGTATGCTTGTTTTTTCCATAAACCAGCGTTATGTTTGTTTAATAATTTTATGAGACACTTGCGCAGCAGAATTTACAACTAACTTTCCAATTCACCTCTTACAAATGAAAATTTAAAAATACACAGAGAAGTTCCCTGCAAGCTATCAGTGCGCGGGCAAATATTTGTAGCCATACCCTTGCACAAAAGGGCGGCATGAAAACAACAGAAGCAGCAACAATAAAGCCTTTAAATCCCAAGCTGGGCTAGCAAGGACAAGTCGAATATAACGGACCCACTCAACCAGTACCCCGAACATGGGTCTGTTATCTATGGTGCATCATTTATGGCATTTGGACCAAACATCCAAGTTAGTATCACAAGGAAATGGAAGCTTTGCCATGATCTTGCAGTCTGTTTATCTTTAACAAAAGAATATGATGTGCTACTAATATTGCTATTAGCTTGAGAAAAGAGAAGTACTACGTACCTCCTTCGCATATCCCCCTCTGCTCAGAGCTCTAATGACATATCTGTAGATACTTTTACTCATGCCAATGGCCTTCTCCTCCATGAGTTCCAAAGTTTCCATAACAAACTAGAAATATTGGAAAAGCTCCAAATGGAGTTCTAATCAAAATGACTGTATCAAAGTCATGCTGTGGTAAAAAGAAAAAAAAAACATGCATTTAACAGTAGACTTACCAAAGGATCAGGTGCCTCTGCACAATACTCCAATATATAATAAAAATCTTCCTTGGTCAGTGCTTCCTTAGTGTGATGAAAGTTCGAAAGAATCAATGATGCTCGCTGCCGGTCACCTCTACGGAGAGCATTGACAACTTCAGATTGCAAGGGTCTAACAAAACTAGTCTTCCATGTAAAATCATCATACTCTGTAATCACTGTAACATTGTTTACATACTGATATGCACAAAATTCACGTACAGTAATTCTGCTAACTGAGGGTAATATTCAGCTCGGAGACCATGATAAGATGAAGCAAGCATGGTATATCAAAGTGAAACTTGCTGTAGGCAGAGAACAATCAGTTATACCAGGCAGTGGGCCAAGCCTCGAGGAACAAAAACCCATATGCTATGCAGGCAAAGACAAGGCATCAAATATATAGACATATAAACAAATTAAACCGTTTTTCCATACACTGACAACGTTCATCTGAATTGTTCGTACCATTTCCAGATTAATAATCATACAAGCATATCCAAACATGAAACCAACTACAACATTCATACAAACCAATAACGAAACCAAAATAATTGAAAATACGCTTACTGTTTGAACAAGTTGGGGCGTCTTCAGAGTGAACACTTGCTGCATTGGCCACCTGCAAGAAATCAGTATTATTAGCATCTAATCCACACGCAAATAAATGAAACAACATGGAGCGTACAGGAAGAAATCCTGCATATTACGTGAGGGGGTTTGAACGCCGCTGAGGAGTTCGTGCACCGGCGAGCGGCCCTCGATCTAAATGACACGGAAACGAAGATGATTGTGAGAACACCACGTGACCAGCCCGAATCATTCATTCCTTGGATAGCTCGCTTACAGTATCCTCTGCATCGCAGGCAGCGAAGAGGGGGGCGCCTTTCGCCGGCGGGCGGGGCAATGATCTCTGGGTTTGCCGCCGCACAGATCGAGGTGGCGCGGAGGAAGCGTGGGAGGTGGAAGCGGTATACACCGCGCAGCCTACAAAGTGGAGGCTGACGAGAGCGAGACCGGCGACGAGGGGTTTGGAGATGCTGCCGCCGGCGGGGGGCGACGAGGGTTTGGAGATGCTGCCGCCGGCCGGGGGCGACGCGGCGGATTAGCGGAAGGGTTTTGGTGTTGGGGGCTGGGGGCAAAGAGCTCGTGCGGACTCGCGGCCTTGCGGATGGGCAGCCGGCGCCGTTAGGGCACGTTCAACCACAGACGGGGGTCGTCTCCATGGATCTCGAATCCAACATAAAGAAAGACAGATTGTACGGATAAAAATAGATGGTACGGATGTCTGTTTTACTCTATACACTATTTAATGTTACGTATGTGGCCTAGATAAATTGTGAACACTATTTTATATACTATTGTGTTGCTAATTGATAAAAATGGATTAAGCTTAAATAAGATGAACATGATTATAATTTTTTTAAATCATCAATATATCATATTATATATAATTGAAACATCTTTGTCTAATTTTTTTTCTTTCCATAGCGCAGGCAACTGCTACAGATTTGACTTCAATAAAAATTTCACTAGAAATATGTACACAGCATCTCATAGCCCCGGGTCAGCCAAAAACAGCTAGCATTTCACATTATGAAAACAGCATGGTGACAATGTTTTCCATGTATTAGCCAAAAACAGCTACCATTCCACACAGCTATCATTAGCCCCAAAGACTGCTGAAGCTTCATACAAATGCCATCAATTTAGTGCAACCACATTGTACTAATATTTAGATGCTGGTCAATTTCAACTACACATCATCGTTCAGTGAATAGGGAAGCTGCATATGACTATATTAATAGGCAAGCCTGCAAACTTGAAACTTGAATGTAGTTTTCAGAACTGAGAAAGTGGTAGCATGAGTATTCAGAAAGGCAGACAAGCATACAAGTACTATCTTCGAATGTAGGAATCATTAGTTACCTCCTTCAAGAACTCATCAGTGTTGGCAATGGAGTCTACGCAATACTAAGGTTTCCTTCATCAGACTACTGAATTAAGAACGTATTCTTGCTACTGAATTAAGAACGTATTCTTGCCGTAGAGGTCCTAGTGCTTGGGCCAGAGGCCGAGCTTCGCCAGCGATGATGTCGGTGTCCACCAAGATTGGCGAGGTTGCGCCGACCTCGGGATCGTCAGGCTCCCGCATCTCGGCGGTGGCGGCGGCGGCGGCAAGACGACGACGACGGCAATGGCTGTGGATCTCGCGATGAAGGCTCGGGCACCGTCGGTGGCGCTAAGGATCGTCGGGCTTGGCATCTCCGGCGATGGCGGCGGCGGCGGCGGCAAGCAAGGAAGGTCTTTGGATCTCGCGAGCACCAAAAACTAGAAACACGGTCATCGTCTACCAAAGAAATCCCGCGAGCACCAAAACTAGAAACGCGCGCGCGCTACGCGACGTGATCCCGCGCGAGTCGACTCGTGGAAACGGCCGCATAACGCCGCCGCCTCGTCGATTCCACATAGGAGCAGGAGCCCTTGCCGTCGTCTCGCGAGGCGACGGGGCGAGCGTCTCTGAGCGAAGCTGAGGACTATTTTGCATAATTCGCGTCTTGGAGACGGGCGTTGTACGTGCCCTTAGTTGGGACATCAGCCTTTCTCCTGGGCGGTGCGTACTCCCTCGACCTCCCAAAATAGAGATACATATGTTTTCTGCCGTTGATTTTTTTTAACTAAAATCGTGTCCGCGTTGCCACGCATGATGGACATCTGCACCGGTGCCGCTCGATCTAGGTCCAGGACGTCGGGGTTGGCGTCGATGTCGGCGCCCGGCATGGCATGAGTGGGAGAATTTGGGTCGAATTGAAAGGCACGAGGAGTCGGGCGGCAACACAACCGAGCGGGAGGACCGAGCTAAGGCTCGGTTGGCTAGCTGCGCCGGCGTGCGAGCAGCCCACCCGGGTTCGATCCCTGATCGACTCGTGTGCCTCACCGCTGCCCGGGATTTTCTCGGGATTTCTACCTCTCGCGCGTAATGCTACAGTGGATCGTGACGTACCCGTCGCCTACAAAATCAGTGGATTTCGATGAACTCAAGAAGAACGCGGTCTTCAGATCTGGATGTAGTTATAGGTTTGTTTGTACACGGGTGGTGTGAGTAGTGTGCGTGTGTTGAGTGGGCGTGCGTATGTACGAACAGATGCTACAGCTATACCCAAACAAGAGGCATTAAAAAAAACCGAGCGGGGCCATTAGTTGTCGGGTAGACGATAACCCTTGATTTTACAGGAGTATAGGCATTAAATATGCTGATACGACACTAGATGAAGAGGAATGATAAAAGTTTTATAAGAGTAAAAAAACTCTTCTGCACTGTTTTCCAAAATACGAGTGTGTTGAAAATTGAGACATAAAACCCCCATTGTGAATGACTTTAGTATAGAGATTTAGTAGTTAGGTTTGTACATGAAAATATTATTAACAAATGCATCTCTTATAATATTCAACAATTAATCTGATAATATTTATTATACATCATAAATATATTCGCTTACATATATATTTGATCAACTATGAACTATGTATATAAAACGAGTGTATGTATGTATATAAAACTATGAACTATGAATGGTGGTATATGTCTCTTTATTCAAATCACAGAACACACGCACACACCTAGTTGATATTGACGAAGTCATCTTTCTATATGAGTACTTCAAAAAGACTAAGGGGTGTTTTCTAAAGTTTAGTCCTTGTTACATCAGATGTTGGACACTAATTTGAAGTGTTAAATATAAACTAATTACAAAACTAATTACACAGATTGAGACTAATTTGCGAGACAAATTTATTAAGCCTAATTAGTCTATGATTTGACAATATAGTGCTACAATAAACGTGTGCTCCAGCTGGCAGTTGCAGCTCACCAGCGAGTGCCGGCGGCCAACCGTGGTGTCAAAAAGGCTACTGTCGTGGATTCTCTTCTCCCCCCTCCTTCCTTAGCCCTTATCCAAGCTTTACGAGGCTCCCATGGTTAGGGGTAGGCATTCGGTTAACCATCGGTTCAGTTCTTCGGTTTTTTAGGAAATTTGGTTCCATCAGAACTAGGAGCTAATCGCTTCTTTGTAAAAATAAGAACTGACGAAATTTGGTTTCGGATATTTTGATTCGGTCTATGTTATAACCAAACGAATCGATTTATAGGTTCAACAAGCCAAAAAAACAATTAAAAAAAACAAGTCATTGTTGTGTGCCTCGCCACACGCGTTGCTCCGTCTCGTGCTTGTGCTCGTCCCTGCATCCAGTTGTAGGTCGAGATGTTGGACTAGAGGGGGGTGAATAGTCATTTCTAAAACTTAATCGCTCCGGCTAACCGAATCAAATGCATAATTAAAATAATCGGTCTAGCCAAGACTACACCTCTCTATCTATGTTCTCAAACACCTTGCAAAGATCCTAATTAAACAACTAATGTGCCAAGCTAGCTAGAGCTCACGTATCTAATTCTAGGAGTAAGATCACACAAACCTATGCCACTAATACTTCAAGCAACGAGGGAACTCCTACACATGCTAGTAAGCAAAAGCACAAAGCCACATAAACTCACTAGCAAAGCTCAATAACAAGACAACCAATGCCAAATTAGAGAGTGCAATTACTTAGCTACACAAACTAAGCAATATGACTAACAAAGTTACACAAACCAAATTAGCTATGCAAGGGAGCTACTTCTATGCCACACAAGCAAGAAGATAACTAGTGAGCTACATAAACTAACTAATAACAAGAGCAACTACACAAGCACAATATATATGAAAGTAATTACAAGCTTATGTAAGGGGATTGCAAACCAACGGGAAGAACAATGCTGACACAGTGATTTTTCTCCCGAGGTTCACGTGCTTGCCAACACGCTACGTCCCCGTTGTGTCAACTGCTGACTTGGTAGTTCGGCGGCTAATTGGCATTACCCGACAAACCCGCACGTCGGGCACCGCAAGAACCTACCCCGAAAGTGAGGGTAGCTCAATGACACGCTCAACTAGAGTTGCTCTTCGCGGCTCCCGCGGGGCGAGCACAATACCCCTCACAAAGCTCTTCTCCGAAGCACCGCACAAGCTTCTTGCGGGCTTCAACGGAGACCACCACCAAGCCATCTAGGAGGTGGCAACCTCCAAGTGTAACAAGCACCACCAGCTTGTAACTCGATCACCTAGTGTCACTCGATGCAACCTCACGATGCAATCGCACTAGAATAGCTCACTCGATCGGATGAAAACTATCAAGCTCAAGTGAGTTAGAGGGCTCCCAAGCACTATCACATAAGCCACCAAGGCTCTAGTGTGCTCAGCTCTACTAAGCTCTTGGCCAAAGGCTGACCAACACTTCTATTTATAGCCCCACAGGCTAAAATAGCCGTTACCCCTTCACTGGGCGTTTTTCGGGATGACCGGACATGCCGGTCAGATCGACCGGACGCACCCTGCCAGCGTCCGGTCGCGCTACGCCGTCCACATGTTGCTCTGCGTTCAACTGGAGCCACTCGATCTCAACGGCTAAGTTACAACCGGACGCGCACCGCGAGGATGACCGAACGCTGCTACGCCTAATTCTGGTCATTTCCAGAGAGCTCTTCGAGCCTCTGTTTTGCGACCGGACGCGTTCGCTCCTACACAACCGGACGTAGACCAGCCAGAGTCCGGTCGTTTTCAGAGAGCTCCCCGAGCCTCTGTTTTGCGACCGGACGCGTCAGGTCAGTCACGATTGGACGTAGAAACCGAGTCCAGTTGTTCTCCGACTGCCACGCGTCACTGTTGTTCCTCATGCCACCACGTTAGCGTACGTCAGCACTGGTCGGACGCTGCTCCTACACATCAAGTCACTTCTTTACCCAGCGTCTGGTCAAAGACCGACGC